TCAGGGAGCCAGTCAGTCAGGGAGCCAGTCAGTCAGGGAGCCAGTCAGTCAGGGGTAGCAGTGTTCACCCTACGAAGGCGAAGGACCTCTCTATTGTCTATACCTTGCAGAGTGAGTTGTTGAAGCTTTTTGAACTCCTGATAGGTGGCCGTTGTCTTTGAAGGGAACCAGCAGCCATGGTTGTAGAGGGTATGCTGGATCCCCCGGGATGTGGGTGTCGTTGGGCACCATAGACTGCGGGTTGGCGGTAATCATCTGGTGCAGGTCTGAGTTCCGGTTCACCCTTGCATCATGCACTGAGCCTGGATAGGCACTAAGTACACTGATGAAAAGCATAGAAGGTGCTTAGAATGGAACGACTTTCGGTTGACATTCAGTAATAGTCAAAAGTTTGGAGACACCTACTCATTCAAGAGTTTTTCTGTATTCATACTATGTTTTACATTGTAGAATAATAGTGAAGACATCAAAACTATGAAATACCACATATGGAATCATGTAGTAACCAAAAAAGTGTTAAACAAATCAAAATATATCTTATATTTGAGATTCTTCAAATAGCCACCCTTTGCCTTGATGACAGCTTTGCACATGTTTGGCATTCTCTCAACCAGCTTCACCTGGAATGCTTTTCCAACAGTCTTGAAGGAGTTCCCATATATGCTGAGCACTTGTTGGCTGCTTTTCCTTCACTCTGCCATCCGACTCATCTCAAACCATCTCAATTGGGTTGAGGTCGGGGGATTGTGGATGCCAGGTCATCTGATGCAGCACTCCATCACTCTCCTTCTTGGTAAAATAGCCCTTACACAGCCTGGAAAAACAAATGATGTTGAAAAACTGATAGACCCACTAAGCCCAAACCAGATGGGATGGCGTATCGCTGCAGAATGCTATGGTAGCCATGCTGGTTAAGTGTGCCTTGAATTCTAAATAAATCACAGACAGTGTCACTAGCAAAGCACCCCCACACCATAACACCTCCTCCTCCATTCTTCACGGTGGGAACCACACATGCAGAGATCATCCGTTCACCCACACCCCGTCTCACAAAAACACGGCGGTTGGAACCATAAATCGCCAATTTGGACTCCAGACCAAAGGACATATTTCCACTGGTCTAATGCCCATTGCTCGTGTTTCTTGGCCCAAGCAAGTTTCTTCTTATTATTGGTGTCCTTTAGTAGTGGTTTCTTTGCAGCAATTCGACCATGAAGGCCTGATTCACACAGTCTCTTCTGAACACTTGATGTTGAGATGTGTCTGTTACTTGAACTCTGTGAAGCATTTATTTGGGCTGCAATTTCTGAGGCTGGTAACTCTAATGATTTTATCCTCTGCAACAGAGGTAACTCTGGGTTTTCCATTCCTGTGGCGGTCCTCATGAGAGCCAGTTTCATCATAGCGCTTGATGGTTTTTGTGACTGCACTTGAAGAAACGTTCAAAGTTCTTGACATTTTCCGGATTGACTGACCTTCATGTCTTAAAGTAATGATGGACTGTCATTTCTCTTTGCTTATTTGAGCTGTTCTTGCCATAATATGGATTTGGTCTTTTACCAAATAGTGCTATCTTCTGTATACCCCCCCTACCTTTTCACAATACAACTGATTGTCTCAAACGCATAAAGAAGGAAATAAATTCCACAAATTCACTTTTAAGAAGGCACACCTGTTGATTGAAATGCATTCCAGGTGACGACCAAATGAAGCTGGTTGAGAGAATTCCAAGAGTGTGCAAAGCTGTCATCATGGCAAAGGGTGGCTATTTGAAGATTCTCAAATATAAAATATATTTTGATTTGTTTAACACTTTTTTGGTTACTACATGATTCCATATGTGTTATTTCATAGTTTTGATGTCTTCACTATTATTCTACAATGTAGAAAATAGTAAAAATAAAGAAAAACCCTTGAATGAGTATGTGTGTCCAAACTTTGACTGGTACTGTATGTCTAGGGGTATTCTTGGGAGGCCTTGATGGGAATGTGTGTTCCGTCAATGGCTCCGATCACCCCAGGGCACTTAGCTGCCTTTACAAAGCCACTGATGACCTCTTGTGCTCTGGCCCGTTGGCCAGACGATGACTCGTGCAGAGAGATGAGATACTGCTTCGATCACCCTCTGGAAGCAGGCCTCGACCGTAGATTCAGAGACATCGAACCTGTCGCCGATTCCCCTGCACAAAGGAATTAATTTATATGATGATATTATATACATTATGATATAACTGTTATATTAACATTATAACACTACTCTGAACCTAAATTCACTCTTTGCCAACTAGGCCTATCAGTCATGATTCGAGATCAAATCCCAAATGATGCTGCGGTTCGTCATTACCACCACAGGGTGTCAGCGCTACCATGTGCCTTTTAATACAGTGCTTTATGACAGTTGAAAGGTCATGTCAATAAAACCGATTGACCTTTTAGCAGGATGGATTTCTGGTGAGTTTTATTGCAGATCGCTTGCCGTTTATTTTATGATATATTTTGAAATGTGCGAGTAGCAGTCTGTGGCCCTGTTTACCTGTTGTCTGAGAATTATGACAACTTATTACAGTGTTTGAAGTAGCTAGGTCTATAGTTGTATGTTGTTGGTCTGTGTATGGACCACTGTAGCTAGCTGTGATGGAGTTGGCTAGTTATGACGTTGCTTATCATTGGTGCGGTGTGTCTTGTTTTGTATGCTTTGTACAAAATAATAAAATGCAGGACGACAGGATATTTATAAACGTAGCTCTTTATTAACTAGCTATAACTGGCATGTCCATGTGTCTCTGGCCATGATCATCTTTAGAATGACCTCACCACCTGGGTGGTCTTAGCCAATCATAGCACAGTATGATATGACAGTAGAATGCATCCAATTACAATTCAGTATGCTGACACATATGAATATTACACGGTGCTGTAGATTTGGACATAATTTAGTCAAGTTCTGTACCTGATCACATCCATGATCATGTTTAGTTTATAATGGCACGACAATATTCACCTGAATGACTCCTGATTTCCTAGTAACCACAGAACAATCATGAGCTCGAATGGATGGCCGACCGACTGGCTGATCGGTTATTTGGGTAGCTGTTTCCTCGGAGGGCGCTCCTTTTCATTCTGAAGTCGTTATCACCGGTACAATTATTTCGGCATAGTCCGGAATCCGTGTGTGCGTAAACTGCGGATTGGGTGTTAACATATTCCGGATTTCCACGTCAATGTTGGCAGTTTCATACTCCTAAAAAAACAACACATGGAAGACATTGTACTGTAGCAAGCTAGCTATCTGTCTAGAATAGCCTGCTATGTTACTAGCTAAGTAAATTCCGTTATTGTCGTAGTAAATATATAATGTTATAGCTTGGTCTGACTAAAATCTTGTGCATGACCCATTTTGTGTTGGGCCTTTGTATTCAATACAATGCACAAAAGAGTCCTATCTTGTCAGCCTTGTCAGCAGGTGGCTAAGGACAACACCCACGCCATAGGTCTCTCAGTTCTTCCAACTCACGAGTTCTTGCTCTGAGGACACACACACACACCCCCACACACACCCCCACATACACACACACACACACACATACACACACATACACACACACATACACACACATACACACACACACACACACACACACATACACACACACACACACACAAAAATCCCCTTCTCTTAGGCTGAACATCTGAAGACAGAGAACCCGACTCAGAGCCAATGCAACAGTGATACTAACCTGGAGGGGACCTCGCCCAACTCATCAGGACCAATCAGAAGATCAGAACTACTAGATTCAACCTACTTCATTTTATTGTATAAAATGTCAGCACACAATGTTTCGGGGCTCTCTCAGATATCTCCCTACGAGATTGACGAACGGGTCCGTGCACGCGATTCCAGATATCTTTACCTCTGAATAAACTGCCTTTATTATACCATATCCACCCTGTCCAAAGTCTCTACTTGGTCTCAGTTCTCCAGTAAACTTGTTTTATCAACATTATACTAATCTAGCTATTGGCTTTCCAGTTGACAATCAGCTGATTGCACTTGCTAACGTTAGCTAGCTAACATTAGTTAGTTAGCTTAATGTTACTGTAGCTAAAAACGAGGTTAGTGACACGCCAGATGCATGTTGCAAGGCCAATGTATTGATCTTACATTGTCTTCATCACTGTCAACCAGAGTCTAAAAAATAGATAAAATAACATTTTTTACTACCCAAAAGAGAGCAGTCACGCCATCTCTGTTTTCAGCCATTTTTATTTGTGAACCGTTTTATCGGTCGTAAATTCGTCATTATCAAGCGCTCCAACCAGAGCGTCCAGAGTGAATTTACGAACGCACCCGAAGTTTAAATGTCTCTTTTTTAAACATTCTGTCTTGTAAGCAACATTTACATGATTTTGCAGGCATTCGTTTTAGGCTGTATATCACAATGAATTGTGTATTACAGCCTGATTAATCAGCCTAGTCTTTTCGGACACTTCTGGCGAGCTAGCAAGCTGACATGGTATCCAGTACCACTAGTCCCCCAGATACTATTGAGGTTTAAGTTGTACCCACAGCCGACTACATCATTTTGTTTTTTACTAAAGGTGATTTTGAATAAAATGTGTTGTTTTAGCCGAGGAACTAGCAATCTGTCTCCACCTCTCACGGAAACTACTGTGTACTCTGTCGTAGCCGGCCGCGACCAGGAGACCCATGGGGCGGCGCACAATTGGCCCAGCGTCGTCCAGGGTAGGGGAGGGAATGGCCGGCAGGGATGTAGCTCAGTTGGTAGAGCATGGCGTTAGCAACGCCAGGGTTGTGGGTTCGATAAAAGAATGTATGTGCTAACTGTAAGTCGCTCTGGATAAGAGCGTCTGCTAAATGACTCAAATGTAAATGTAAATGTCTTTATCTCTTGTCTGCAGATCATGAGGCTGTCAGCACTGGAGACCCACGTGAGGAATATCCGGAAGACAGCAGGAGAGAAGCCCTGTTCCTGTGGCTCATGGGCCGCGTTGACAAGGCCAAAGACTACATTGACAAGATACTGAAGATATCCAAGTCCTCAAAAGAGGTCCATAGCAATACACGACACCAGTATTATTCAGCAATCATTTAGGCTCATTTGAAGCTCTATAGCAGGGGTGTCAAACGTACGGCCCGCAAACTGGTTTAATCCGGCCCGCGAGATGATTTTGAAAAAAAAATATATATATATTTTTTTTATTTTAATTCAATAAAATAAACTGCTGTTCCAATTGCGTCCACTGGATGGCGCAATAGCAATTGTGTTAAGCAAGCAAACTGTTTATACCGGGGCAGAGCAAGTAGGTCAAGCACGTGCAGCCAATGAGCTACTTTGTTTTGCCCGCGATATTTATTACGGCTTCTACTTTTAACATTATGTGCTTTGGCACCCTCATTGCCCCAATATGTCTCTGTCAAAAAAGAGAAAAGTGGACACAGAGTGCAGAGTGTTCCAAGAAAAATGGTCATCCTATTTAATCACGGAATTGAATGGGAAAGCTGTATGTTTGGTGTGTTCAGAGCATGTTGCAGTACTGAAAGAATATAACCTTCGTCGCCACTATGTGAGTCTTCATGCCGACAAATATGACAACTTTCAAGGACAGCGGAGATGAGAGAAGGTGAATGAACTGTTGGCGGGTCTGAAGAAACAGCAGTCTGTGTTTACTCACAGCCGAGACATCAGTGACGCTGCAGTGAAAGCTAGCTACCTCATTGCTAATGAAATCGCAGTGGCTTCAAAACCATTTAGTGAGGGTGAATTTGTAAAAACATGCGTGATGAAGGCAGCGGAGATTGTGTGCCCTGAAAAGCGGCAGGCTTTTGCAAATATCAGCCTGACAAGAAACACAGTTGCAGACAGGATTTCCAAACTTTCAGTGGATTTGGACAGCCAGTTGAAGAAAAAGTAAAGTCATTTATTGCGTTTTCGGTTGCAATTGATGAAAGCACGGACATTACAGATGTTGCACAACTGGCCATTTTTTCATCCGCGGAGTTGATGACACATTGACCGTCACCGAGGAGTTCGTGGAGTTGGTGCCGATGACAGATACAACGACAGCAGCTGATATTTTTACCGCACTCGTCGGCGCGCTGGACAGGGTCGGAGTGGACTGGTCCCGCGCTGTCAGCCTGGCTACAGATGGTGCGCCCTCAATGATCGGGAAAAAAGCAGGCGTTGTGACAAAGTTCAGAGAGAAAGTGCAATCTGCAAATGGAGGACGTGATTTTTTGACTTTTCACTGTATTTTGCACCAGGAGGCTTTGTGTTGCAAGTCATTAAAGATGGATAACGTCATGAAGGTAGTCATCCAAACTGTTAATTTCATCCGATCCAGAAGCCTGAATCACCGTCAGTTTGACAGCCTTCTCAGAGAGAAAGACCACATCTATGGCCTGCCATACCACACTGAGGTAAGATGGTTAAGCCGAGGTGCTGTGCTGAGGCATTTCTTTGATTTACGAGAAGAAATTGAACAGTTCATGGAAGAAAAGGGCAAACCAGTGTTAGAATTTCATTCCGCAGAATGGATGCCGGACCTTGCATTAATGGTGGATGTTACAGAGCACCTGAATAACTTGAACAAACAGCTGCAAGGGCGCAACAAAGTTACCACGCAGTATTATGACAGCATACGTTCTTTCAAGTTGAAGCTGTCATTGTGGGAGACGCAACTTGCCGGTGGTGATGCAGCTCACTTCCCCTGTCTGAAAAATGTGTGCGCGACCCAACATGTGGCAGACATGAAGCGGTTCAAAGATAAAATAACGGGACTGTTACGGGAGTTTGAGCAACGCTTTCAGATTTATGTATATGTTTTTATGTTGATGTGCTATTGTTTTTAATTGTTTTTATTTTATTTGTATATTTAACCTATTCTTGACTCTGTGGTTCTTGCACTTGTTTGGGGAACAGGATTTCATTATTTTTATCTACATTTCTGCCTGAGAAATGACACCCTGATATAGTTCTGTGATCTTTTCAAATAAACTTGACGTGTTTTATGATTAATAGTGATGTTGTGCTTGTACTATTTTGGACACACTGTCCTCAGGCTCCAGCTTTATGTTGTATGTTGATCGTATTAAAACAAAGAAAACAATCTGAAGTTGTTGTTTTTAAGTTATATATACCATGATTTTTCCGGTCCGGCCCACTTGGGAATAGATTTTCCTCCATGTGGCCCCTGAGCTAAAACGAGTTTGACACCCCTGCTCTATAGTATGATTTCAAACATAGCACATGAACATTCAGGTTTACCAAGTGCATGACAAATCTATGAATGATATTTTCTGTAGTTCCAAAGTAATACCTTGCTTGGTCAGAAGACACTGTGGTGAACTCTAGTTGTTCCTCTCTTTCCCAGGGCTCTATCCTGAAGTGCTTGGTGGATATGAACTCAGAGGATGAGTTTCAGAGGAACAACGCTATCCACTACCTGGATGGAGGAGTGCAGGACTCCAGGGATGTGTTCGGCCTGATGGGAAAGGTACCACAGCGCTCTGCAGCAGCTCTCCCTTTGGTTCACTGATTATAAACTATTCTTATAAAAAAGTATTTGTATGAGAGGCAACAGCTGCGATGGTTGGCTATAGGCACAGCAGTGGAAGGAAAAGTAACCTAACATTTGTTGATCAATGAATTTGGCCTGATGATTACTATTCCTTGTTTCAATCTCAGGCCAAGTACTTTATGAACAAGCAGAACTTCACTGGATCCCTGGAGGTGGTGAATCAGATAGGGACCTCCCACTCTGACTTCCTCCCTGGTCTGATGCTGAAGATGAAGCTGTTCCTGGCCCTACAGGACTGGGATCAGGCCCTGGATACAGCTGCTAGGTAACTAGAACCATAACCCCTAACCCTACAGGACTGGGATCAGGCCCTGGATACAGCTGCTAGGTAACTAGAACCATAACCCCTAACCCTACAGGACTGGGATCAGGCCCTGGATACAGCTGCTAGGTAACTAGAACCATAACCCCTAACCCTACAGGACTGGGATCAGGCCCTGGATACAGCTGCTAGGTAACTAGAACCATAACCCCTAACCCTACAGGACTGGGATCAGGCCCTGGATACAGCTGCTAGGTAACTAGAACCATAACCCCTAACCCTACAGGACTGGGATCAGGCCCTGGATACAGCTGCTAGGTAACTAGAACCATGACCCCTAACCCTACAGGACTGGCTAGCTGTTGTTATGCGTAGTTATAGTTACACTATATTGGTATAAGTCAACCGTGAACCACTTTTCTTAGTGATGAATACATCACTGTTATGTATTTTATTCAGTTTGATAAATACATCACTGTTATATATTTTATTCAGGATTTTACAACAAGATGGGCGGAATCTGAAAGCTATCCAAGTTCTAGCCATCCATACCATTGTGGAGGACGGGGATCTGGTCAAGGTGAGTTCAGAAGATGGGAACATGAATGAGGCTACATGCAGCAGTACAGTAGCATCGTGTAAACAGACTGATGAGTGCTGTCGCCAAACAGATTGGAAGCTGGCCAGACTTCCTGGTGGTTGGACCAGACTACTAATACAGTAGATTAATATGGTCATCAAGGCATAACATTAACTTGTTGGTCCAGCAGCCACTGTGGCAGGTAGATTAAAAAATATACCAGCCACTCAGATTTTTTAGCAGTCAAATAATTTTTCTTCCGCTAAAATTGCACCAACAAAAAACACACTAAAAACAGATGAGCATGCCTTGTAATGTTTCTAAAACAATAAATGTATTACTAGTAAGAAGTCATGTGGTATATTGTTTAATAACTAATGTTGTGACCTGAGTCTTTTTTAACCAAAATATCACAGATTAGATAAATGTTCTCCTGCCCCTTTAAGGGCAGAAGGTTACCGTGGTAGTGTGATCGAGTCCAGTGTTGCCAATTTAGCAACTTTGTCGCTATATTTAGTGAGTTTTCAGACCCCTCTAGCGACACATTTTCAAAAAATTGACTAGCGACAAATCTAGCGACTTTTTCTGCTGTTATTGGAGACTTTTGGAGACTCTGACGTGAAAGCACGTATCGTTCTTACTCTTCTCAACGAGCAGTCCTCGCGCAGCAGTCCCTCCCAGCTGCAGTCAGAGCAGGAGATGTTCACCCCTCCGCGTCCAGACTGCAAATGAATCGCGCATGCGGGAAGCCGCCGCTGGCTGATCCCGCCCTGGCTTACATTCAGGGCAGGATGTAAATGTTCAACATAAAAAGAATTGACAGAAGAAAGTTCATTTGTAGTTCTAAACATATTTAGGGTGTTTTTTACTCACTTTCTGTCTCTCCTACAGCGTTGTTCCTCTCTCCTACAGCGTTGTTCCTCTCTCCTACAGCATTGTTCCTCTCTCCTACAGCGTTGTTCCTCTCTCCTACAGCGTTGTTCCTCTCTCCTACAGCGTTGTTCCTCTCTCCTACAGCGTTGTTCCTCTCTCCTACAGCATTGTTCCTCTCTCCTACAGCGTTGTTCCTCTCTCCTACAGCATTGTTCCTCTCTCCTACAGCGTTGTTCCTCTCTCCTACAGCGTTGTTCCTCTCTCCTACAGCGTTGTTCCTCTCTCCTACAGCGTTATTCCTCGCCCCTCCTACAGCGTTATTCCTCCTCTCTCCTACAGCGTTATTCCTCCTCTCTCCTACAGCGTTTCCTCCTCTCTCCTACAGCGTTATTCCTCCTCTCTCCTACAGCGTTATTCCTCCTCTGTCCTACAGCGTTATTCCTCCCCTCTCCTACAGCGTTATTCCTCCTCTCTCCTACAGCGTTATTCCTCCTCTCTCCTACAGCGTTATTCCTTCTCTCTCCTACAGCGTTATTCCTCCTCTCTCCTACAGCGTTATTCCTCCTCTGTCCTACAGCGTTATTCCTCTCCTCTCCTACAGCGTTATTCCTCCTCTCTCCTACAGCGTTATTCCTCCTCTCTCCTACAGCGTTATTCCTTCTCTCTCCTACAGCGTTATTCCTCCTCTCTCCTACAGCGTTATTCCTTCTCTCTCCTACAGCGTTATTCCTCCTCTCTCCTACAGCGTTGTTCCTCCTCACTACTACAGCGTTATTCCTCCTCTCTCCTACAGCGTTATTCCTCCTCCCTCCTACAGCGTTATTCCTCCTCGCTCCTACAGCGTTATTCCTCCTCTCTCCTACAGCGTTGTTCCTCTCTCCTACAGCGTTATTCCTCCTCTCTCCTACAGCGTTATTCCTCCTCCCTCCTACAGCGTTATTCCTCCTCTCTCCTACAGCGTTATTCCTCCTCTCTCCTACAGCGTTATTCCTCCTCTGTCCTACAGCGTTATTCCTCCTCTCTCCTACAGCGTTATTCCTCCTCTCTCCTACAGCGTTGTTCCTCCTCCCTTCTACAGCGTTATTCTCCCTTCTCCTACAGCGTTATTCCTCCTCTGTCCTACAGCGTTGTTCCTCTCTCCTACAGCGTTATTCCTCCTCTCTCCTACAGCGATGTTCCTCTCTCCTACAGCGTTATTCCTCCTCTCTCCTACAGTGTTATTCCTCCTCTCTCCTACAGCGTTGTTCCTCCTCTCTCCTACAGCATTATTCCTCCTCTCTCCTACAGCGTTGTTCCTCTCTCCTACAGCGTTATTCCTCCCCTCTTCTACAGCGTTATTCCTCCTCTCTCCTACAGCGTTATTCCTCCTCTCTCCTACAGCGTAATTCCTCCTCTCTCCTACAGCGTTATTCCTCCTCTCTTCTTCAGCGTCCGCCACAATCACATGCACATGGCCAATTATGCAAATTAGGTCATGACGTCATTTAGCGACTTTTTAGGACAGCCAATAGCTATTTTCTTTACTGAGGAGTTGGCACCACTGATCGAGTCATCTTCGTGCCTGTGAGATTGAGTCGGACTAGTAGAAGCGTTGTCTTCTCTTCCTTAGCAGTTGAAACTCAAACATTGAAAAACGACCTAGCTTGTGGAGAAAAAAAAAAAAAGTAAATAGCCAAGAAACACGAGGTCAAAGTCTCAAGTAAATTAGACCAACTTTTATGCCTTTGCACAGCGCTTCTAAAAAGGAATCTTTCACTCAGCTTTTCACGTGCGCACAGAACCCAGCCAGGTAGAGTTGCAGCGCGAGGTGGGATAGTCTATAGGATTCGTCCTTTTTTGACTGCGATTTAATTTACCAGCTATGAAACAAAACAGCAGAAATACTTTGATTACAGCTACTGCAGCATTTGTTTTACAATAAATGTGATCTTACTTGACTTTTTATTCACAAATGCGAATGAAATGCTTGCACTGTGGAGCCCTGACCAACCGCCAACGTGGCTGGCGAAATATACATTTTATCCGCCAATGCTAAAATCTACCAGCATTTGGCAGGTGTTAATTTTAGGCCCTGATGGGCCTCATGTTATGTTTGCAGGCCAAGGAACACCTGCAGGCCCTGGTTAGTGCAGCAGAGGTCTCGGAGCCCTGCTCTCCCAGTCTCCACGTCAGTCTCACCCAGCCAGTGGCGGCTCCTGAAAAAATTCTCAGGGGGGGCAATTTTTCTGATGATTTAGGTGACCTACACACATTTAAAAAAAGATATGTCCAGCAACAACATGAAGACAGGGGCAGCATATAAGTCAATACCAGAAGCATTTATTGACTGATCTCAAAAGTGTTGGCTTACCAGGGTTGGTGGAGCCCTCAGTTTCATCTTTGCCTCGCAAAGCTAACTCAAACAGTCCGCAAAACTTCACACACTGGATTAGCCGGCTGAGGATGTGGCGGTTCTTGCTAATGTCGTAGTAAATATATTTGTTATAGTGAATATGGAATATGATATGTTGAGTAAAATGTTGTGCTAAGATCTATTTAGGTCAGGAGCTGGTTATAAGTTCTGTTCCTATCCAATAACAATGGACAAAAGGGTCCTATCTTGTCAGCCTTGTCAGTTTCAGTTCTCCAGTAAACTTGTGATTATCAACACTAACCTCATCGTTGTGGCGGCGGACAGCTAGCCTGTATCCCTCATCCAGTTGAGTGGGAATGTTCACTCTCCCCAAAGCAGACAATCTCAAACAGCTATCCATGTGGGTCTTTGACAGCTCATGTTTCTTAATCTTTCCTGAAAGATGGTGCATGTCCGTTACACACCAGTCGCTGTCCAAGCGGTGCTGTCTGCCGTGCCGCCTTCAGGGTGAAAGAGTAAGCAGGGGGTAGCAGAAGACTGCATTAGCTACATCGCAGCCTGCTAGCCAGGTTTTTCGTTCGTACCAATTTTTGGAAAATCCTCGGGTGTAGGACTTCCCCCCTTTAGTAGAAACCTGTTGAATTATTAAATTTGGTCTGGGAGGTCCTAATTGTTTCGTTGCCAATTTATCTTCATTTGTTCGCCGACAAAAAGGAACTTCTTTCAAAGACACAATCGAGTTGCACTGAAGCCTAGCCATTTTGATAGAAGTAGTGAATTGATTGACGCTGCTACCCGCTCTTTTCTTAGTTACGTTCATGGTTATATGTTACGTATGACGAAAGCGCGTAAGTGCAAGCCCTCAGAAACCCATAGAGATTGTATTGAAAGCTCTGATATTTGAAAAAAATAGATTTTACATGGGAGTCTATGACAGACTTCTGGGCGATTTTCAACCTGACTGAAATCGCCCCAAAAGGGGGGGGGGGGCATTTGAAGCACGACTTTAGCCTGATTGGACATTTAGTGGCACTGTGGCAGATCAGACATCTAGATTACAACACTGATAACTACTGTTGCCGTGATATAATTGATTAGAAAAAAAATCCCTTCCTTTTCCCGTTTGGCAGTGCGTCGCCCATATCGCCCTATTGAACACACCGCCCCTGCACCCAGCCCATCAGCAGACTGGTATGTATTGAGCTGAGTTTAGTGGGGCTGTATGCGTTGGACGTCACTAGACATTCAGAACTTCCGGGGCTTAGCCCTGAAGACCTGGGGCTGACTCCGGGGGGAAATTTGATCCCTGCGCTCTTGGCCTCGCAAACTAGCAGCGAACATTTTGCAGAAACAACGCTATGTTGCAATCTCACTGCGTTCTTCCATGCGCTATGCTCTCCTGACGCCAAATAATCAACGCTTAATGTAAATTAAATGGATTGTGGTCAGTAAACCCATGGAATATGGTGTTAATAACATTTATAAAAAAAATATATTAGCAACTACAAATTACAAGTGCATAACAATATCGTAATTTTCCATGAAGAAAAATTGTTGGGAAAATTATTTGTATCATTATTTTGTTGCAGTGTTTTCATAAACCATGTCCAATATTTGATTGACAAAAAAAAAAAAAAAAAAGCGTAATGTTGTTGGTCACGTTACTGCTAACTAATGAGAGCTAGGAATGCTGCGCGCTGTGCAGTTCCAAAACAATCCAAAGGGTGGCAGCATAGACCACTAATTAATGTTTTGCATGAAATCATTTTCTAGTTACTTACATTATAGCAGGATTGGGATTTTGGGCTGCCAGTTTTTAGATTATGTTGGAACTGCGTAAACTCGCATTAGCAGTAGTCTTTTATTATAACTAGAGGGGGTGGAGTGGGGGGGGGGGGGGGGGGGGGGGGGGGGGGCACTACATATGTACAAACGCAGGTGTAACAGTGTTGCTTCCGTCCCTCTCCTCGCCCCAACCTGGGCTTGAACCAGGGACCCTCTGCACACATCGACAACAGTCACCCTCGCTCCACAAAAGCACCGTTACCCGTCGCTCCACAAAAGCCGCGGCCCTTGCAGAGCAAGGGAAACAACTACTTCTAGGTCTCAGAGCGAGTGATGTCACCGATTTTGAAATGCTACTAGCGCGCACCGCTAACTAGCTAGCCATTTCACACCGGTTACACAGGCACCAAACATGCTTGAAAATCATGAATTTATAATATTGATTTTATAATATTTGTGGTAATAAAACACAGATTCCAAGGTCAATTTAGCTACAGGTCAATAATTCTACCTATTTAATTACACAAAAATAAATACTCCCCCTCCAACCCCCCTGTAGTAACACACACGTACATACTAGCATACAATCCTTTCTCCAACTAAATATTCACAATGTTTGCGAGTTATATTACACAGTAGTAGGATGTTGGTCCATCCCATAAATATTAGAAATGAAACAAAATGAAACTGTAGGTGAAAACCGGTCTATGACCTCACTCTTTCCCAAGCGTGTTAGTATGTACAGTGGAGAGAACAAGTATTTGATACACTGCCGATTTTGCAGGTTTTCCTACTTACAAAGCATGTAGAGTTTTGCCATTTTTATCATAGGTGCACTTCAACTGTGAGAGACGGAATCTAAAACAAAAATCCATAAAATCACATTGTATGATTTTTAAGTAATTAAGTATTTTAAGGCTTTGTGTGGTCTAACCTGTGTTTGGCTGGTGTGGGCTTGGTGTGGGCTAGCCTGTGTTTGGCTGGTGTGGGCTTGGTGTGGGCTAGCATGTATTTGGCTGGTGTGGGCTTGGTGTGGTCTAACCTGTGTTTGGCTGGTGTGGCCTTGGTGTGGGCTAGCATGTATTTGGCTGGTGTGGGCTTGGTGTGGGCTAGCCTGTGTTTGGCTGGTGTGGGCTTGGTGTGGGCTAGCATGTATTTGGCTGGTGTGGGCTTGGTGTGGGCTAGCATGTATTTGGCTGGTGTGGGCTTTGTGTGGGCTAGCATGTATTTGGCTGGTGTGGGCTTTGTGTGGGCTAGCATGTATTTGGCTGGTGTGGGCTTTGTGTGGGCTAGACCGTGTTTGGCTGGTGTGGGCTTGGTGTGGGCTAGCATGTATTTGGCTGGTGTGGGATAACCCATGCCCACTTTTCCCAGCGAATACCCACATGGGGCCAATGGGGTCATGTCTGCTGGGACACTTGTCACAGGTGCTGCATTAGAAAGGATCATGTAGAACTAAAAAGTAGTTTGCTGAAACCAAAGAACCTTCAGGGTTGTTCTAGTCACCTGGGGGTCAGCCCAGCCCAGTCCCTTGGCCTCTGTCTCCATGGAACCAGTGGTTCTAGTCACCTGGGGGTCGGCCCAGCCCAGTCCCTTGGCCTCTGTCTCCATGGAACCAGTGGTTCTAGTCACCTGGGGGTCGGCCCAGCCCAGTCCCTTGGCCTCTGTCTCCATGGAACCAGTGGTTCTAGTCACCTGGGGGTCGGTCCAGCCCAGTCCCTTGGCCTCTGTCTCCATGGAACCAGTGGTTCTAGTCACCTGGGGGTCGGCCCAGCCCAGTCCCTTGGCCTCTGTCTCCATGGAACCAGTGGTTCTAGTCACCTGGGGGTCGGCCCAGCCCAGTCCCTTGGCCTCTGTCTCCATGGAACCAGTGGTTCTAGTCACCTGGGGTTCGGCCCAGCCCAGTCCCTTGGCCTCTGTCTCCATGGAGCACAACGTTCTGGGTCTTTGGGGGGGGTATGTTGATGTTGAGTATAGTCACATGTTGAAGTATATCGGTATGCATGTCAGCCTCCCAATACGACAAATGAAATCTACTGTTCCAGAGTGGGATCTATATATGACTCTGTACTGTCCCATTTGGGTATAGAATTATAACGCCTGCCTGCCTGCCTGCCTGCCTGCCTGCCTGCCTGCCTGCCTGCCTGCCTGCCTGCTTGCCTGCCTGCCTGCCTGCCTGCCTGCCTGCCTGCCTGCCTGCCTGCCTGCCTGCCTGCCTGCCTGCCTGCCTGCCTGCCTGCCTGCCTGCCTGCCTGCCTGTCTGTCTGTCTGTCTGTAGTGTGGAGGCAACCCAGAGATCCTTCAGCTGCTGACTCCATTTACAGAGCGGGCGTACTCTAGAACCCCTGGGAATGCTGATGTGGCCAATGAGATGGGCTACCTTCTGTCCCTACAGGACAAGACTAAGGAGGCCGCCAGGTGGTATTCCACTGCTCTCAACACTGACACCAGCAGTGTCCCAGCCCTGGCAGGTAGATACTGTGGACTCTACACAGTAACCTTATACACTAGCGTCTACACAGCGTCTACACAGTAATATTCATAGCCCTCCTCCTTTCCCAGTGTGTTGATGTGCTTCTTCCTTGCTTTTTTAACTGTGATAGCTCTGGTGAGTAATGCACTACATGACCAAAACTGCTCGTCGAACATCTCATTCCAAAATCATGGGCATTAATATGGAGTTGGTCCCCCCTTTGCTGCTATAACAGCCTCCACTCTTCTGGGAAGGCTTTCCACTATATGTTGGAACATTGCTGTGGGGACTTGCTTCCATTCAGCCACAAGAGCATTAGTGAGGTCGGGCACTGATGTTGGGCGATTAGGCCTGGCTCGCAGTCGGCGTTCCAATTCATCCCAAAGGTGTTCGATGGGGTTGAGGTCAGGGCTCTGTGCAGGCCAGTCAAGTTCTTCTACACCGATCTCGACAAACCATTTCTGTATGGACCTTGTTTTGTGCAAGGAGGCATTGTCATTCTGAAACAGGAAAGGTCCTTCCCCAAACTAATGCAGCAAAGTTGGAAACACAGAATTGTCTAGAATGTCATTGCATGCTGTAGTGTTAAGATTTCCCTTCACTGGAACTAAGGGGCCTAGCCCGAACCATGAAAAACAGCCCCAGGCCATTATTCCTCCTCCACCAAACTTTACAGTTGGCACTATGCATTGGTGCAGATGGCGTTCTCCTGGCATTCGCCAAACCCAGATTCGTCCGTCGGACAACCAGATGGTGAAGCGTGATTCATCACTCCAGAGAACGCGTTTCCTCTGCTCCAGAGTCCAATGGCGGCGAGCTTTACACCACTCCAGCTGACGCTTGGCCATGGAAACCCATTTCATGAAGCTCCCGACGAACAGTTCTTGTGCTGAGTTGCTTCCAGAGGCAGTTTGGAACTCAGTAGTGAGTGTTGCAACCGAGGACAGACTATTTTTACTCACTACGTGCTTCAGCACTCTGTGGTATCGTTCTGTGATCTTGTGTGGCCTACCACTTCGAGGCTGAGCCGTTGTTGCTCCTAGACGTTTCCACTTCACAATAACAGCACTTACAGTTGACCGGGGCAGCTCTAGCAGGGCAGAAATTTGACAAACAGACTAGTTGGAAAGGTGGCATCCTAAGACTGTGCCATGTTGAAAGTCACTGAGCTCTTCAGGAAGTCCATTCTACTGCCAATGTTTGTCTATGGAGATTGCATGGCTGTGTGCTTGATTTTACACACCTGTCAGCAACGGGTGTGGCTGAAATGGCCAAATCCACAAATTTGAAGGGGTGTCCACATACCTTTGTATATAATAGTGTATTTCCTATGCTTTTAAGGCGATATCCTTGAACTTGCTGTATGTTGAGTGTTGTGGTGAGGTCACTGAGGTGTTTGCTTTTCCAGGACTGATCCGCTGCCAGCTGATGAACGGCCAGCTACAGGAAGCAGCCAATCAGCTGGAGTTCCTCAGAGAGATCCACCAGTCCATTGGCCAGTCAGCGGTATGACAAGCAGGATTCTACCTGAGTGACTAATCACATTACACTGATCTATCTCTGTGGTCACAAGGCCCCCTAAATTGAACGAGGTTGGGGGATTGAGAATTTGTTTGATTAGGAATGTTAACATTCGTAACCATTGACATGGTATGAAAAGTATAGTATAGCTAACTGTAACTTCCCCTTTGTTTACTGTAGGAGCTGGTCCTTCTACAGGCTCTCCTGGTCCATAAGAGAGGGGCAGGGCTGGCGGTGGTGTCACCCTTACTGAAGGAGGCCACCGACCTTCACTTCCTGGACCTGCGAGGGCGACCAATGGGACCAGACTACTTCCACAGGCTCCACCCCAACTTCATTTTCCAGGTGGTCAACCTCCACCTTTCCTTCTTCCAGGTAAACCCTTACACCCTTCAAATTCTCTGGACCTGGAAGCCAGTTCCACTGCTTTTTCATTGTTCCCCTCTAATCAGGGACTGATTTAGACCTGGGACACCAGGGGGGTGCAAATAATGATCAGGTAGAACAGAAAACCAGCTGTAATCCGGAGGTAGCCTAGCAGTTAAGAGCATTGAGCCAGTAACCGAAAGGTTGCTGGTTTAAATCCCAGAGCCGACTAGCTGAAAAATCTGTCTGTGCCCTTGAGCAATGCACTTAACCCTAATTGCTCCTGTAAGTAGCTCTGTATACGAGCGTCTGCAAAATGACTACATAGACCTCGTAGAAAGAAAAAATACTAGACAACATGGGTAATGAAGGATCAGGTAGAACAGAAAACCAAGTCCTCCATACTAATGTATTGACTCATGAGTCAGTATCTATTGACCAAGTCCTCCATACTAATGTATTGACTCATGAGTCAGTATCTACTGACCAAGTCCTCCATATTAATGTATTGACTCATGAGTCAGTATCTGCTGACCAAGTTCCTCCATATGAATGTATTGACTCATGAGGTGAGTATCTGGTTGACCAAGTCCTCCATTAATAATGTATTGACTCATGAGTCAGTATCTACTGACCAAGTCCTCCATACTAATGTGTTGACTAATGAGTCAGTATCTATTGACCAAGTCCTCCATACTAATGTATTGACTCATGAGTCAGTATCTACTGACCAAGTCCTCCATATTAATGTATTGACTCATGAGTCAGTATCTGCTGACCAAGTCCTCCATATGAATGTATTGACTCATGAGTGAGTATCTGTTGACCAAGTCCTCCATAATAATGTATTGACTCATGGGTTAGTATCACTGAAAGCCACATAATCTACACCCATTCTTGGTATATAGTGTTTACATGCAGGAGGGGAAGTCCTTTACCGTTTAGCAGTGTTTCTAACGACCCATGCCTCCCCTCCCTCCCTCCCAGGAGAAGCCCCTGACGGCAGGTCAGCCCGTTCCCTTTGGCCTGAGTCACTCTGGAATGGTCCTGCAGCCTGTGGTCAAGATGGCCCCCGGACTGCTGCTTGCAGCCTATCACATGGCCCATGTCAAGTTCCTGTCAGGTAGGAGTCTATCACATGGCCCATGTCTAGTTCCTGTCAGGTAGGAACCTATCACATGGCCCATGTCTAGTTCCTGTCAGGTAGGAGCCAATCACATGGCCCATGTCTAGTTCCTGTCAGGTAGGAGCCAATCACATGGCCCATGTCTAGTTCCTGTCAGGTAGGAGCCTATCACATGGCCCATGTCTAGTTCCTGTCAGGTAGGAGCCAATCACATGGCCCATGTCTAGTTCCTGTCAGGTAGGAGCCAATCACATGGACCCAGTCTAGTTCCTGTCAGGTAGGAGCCAATCACATGGCCCATGTCTAGTTCCTGTCAGGTAGGAGCCTATCACATAGCCCATGTCTAGTTCCTGTCAGGTAGGATTCAATCAGCCTATCACATGGCCCATGTCTAGTTCCTGTCAGGTAGGAGCCAATCACATGGCCCATGTCTAGTTCCTGTCAGGTAGGAGCCTATCACATGGCCCATGTCTAGTTCCTGTCAGGTAGGATTCAATTAGCCTATCACATGGCCCATGTCTAGTTCCTGTCAGGTAGGATTCAATTAGCCTAGCACATAGCCCATGTCTAGTTCCTGTCAGGTAGGATTCAATTAGCGTAGAACATAGCCCCATGTCTAGTCCTGTCAGGTAGGATCAATTAGCTAGCACCATAGCCACATGTCTAGTTCCTGTCAGGTAGGATTCAATTAGCGTAGAACATAGCCCATGTGAAATTCCTGTCAGGTAGGTTTCAATTAGCCTAGCACATAGCCCATGTCTAGTTCCTGTCAGGTAGGATTCAATTAGCCTAGCACATAGCCCATGTCTAGTTCCTGTCAGGTAGGATTCAATTAGCGTAGAACATAGCCCATGTCTAGTTCCTGTCAGGTAGGATTCAATTAGCGTAGAACATAGCCCATGTCTAGTTCCTGTCAGGTAGGATTCAATTAGCGTAGAACATAGCCCATGTCTAGTTCCTGTCAGGTAGGAGCCAATCACATGGCCCATGTCTAGTTCCTGTCAGGTAGGAGCCTATCACATGGCCCATGTCTAGTTCCTGTCAGGTAGGAGCCAATCACATGGCCCATGTCTAGTTCCTGTCAGGTAGGAACCTATCACATGGCCCATGTCTAGTTCCTGTCAGGTAGGAGCCAATCACATGGCCCATGTCTAGTTCCTGTCAGTAGGAGCTATCACATGGCCCATGTCTAGTTCCTGTCAGGTAGGAGCCAATCACATGGCCCATGTCTAGTTCCTGTCAGGTAGGAGCCTATCACATGGCCCATGTCTAGTTCCTGTCAGGTAGGAGCCTATCACATGGCCCATGTCTAGTTCCTGTCAGGTAGGATTCAATTAGCCTATCACATAGCCCATGTCTAGTTCCTGTCAGGTAGGATTCAATTAGCCTATCACATGGCCCATGTCTAGTTCCTGTCAGGTAGGATTCAATTAGCCTATCACATGGCCCATGTCTAGTTCCTGTCAGGTAGGATTCAATTAGCCTAGCACATAGCCCATGTCTAGTTCCTGTCAGGTAGGATTCAATTAGCCAAGCACATAGCCCATGTCTAGTTCCTGTCAGGTAGGATTCAATTAGCCTATCACATAGCCCATGTCTAGTTCCTGTCAGGTAGGATTCAATTAGCCCATCACATAGCCCATGTCTAGTTCCTGTCAGGTAGGATTCAATTAGCCTAGCACAACCCCTTCTAGTCCGTCAGGTGGGATTTAAATTACCCAAAGCACATAGCCTTCTATTTTCCTGTGGGTGGGGATTCAATTAGCCTTCACTGCCCAGGGTTATTTCCCTGCGGTAGGATTAATTACCCAAGCACATAGCCCAGTCTAGTTCCGTAGGTAGGATTAAATTGGTGAATAGCCCATGCTTTTCCCTGTCAGGTAGGGTTCACATGGCCATGTCTTTTCCTGTCAGGTAGGACCCAAATCACAGGGCCCCTGTCTATTCCGTCAGGTGGGAAAATTAAAAGGGCCCGTCAGTTCTGTCAGGTAGGTTTAAATTACCCTAGCACATCCCCAGCTATTTCCTTTTCAGGTGGTTTAAATTAGCGTAGAACAAGCCCAGCAGTTCCGTCAGGTGGGTTTTCAATTAGCCAGCACATACCCCATGTCGTCCTTCAGGTAGGATTCAATTAGCGTAGAACATAGCCCATGTGAAATTCCTGTCAGGTAGGATTCAATTAGCGTAGAACATAGCCCATGTCTAGTTCCTGTCAGGTAGGATTCAATTAGCCAAGCACATAGCCCATGTCTAGTTCCTGTCAGGTAGGATTCAATCAGCCTATCACATGGCCCATGTCTAGTTCCTGTCAGGTAGGAGCCTATCACATGGCCCATGTCTAGTTCCTGTCAGGTAGGAGCCTATCACATGGCCCATGTCTAGTTCCGTCAGGTTGAGCCAAAACACATGGCCCATGGTCCAAGTTCCTGTCAGGTAGGAGCTATCACATGGCCCATGTCTAGTTCCTGTCAGGTTTGAGCCAATCACATGGCCCATGTCTAGTTCCTGTCAGGTAGGAGCCTATCACATGGCCCATGTCTAGTTCCTGTCAGGTAGGAGCCAATCACATGGCCCATGTCTAGTTCCTGTCAGGTAGGAGCCTATCACATGGCCCATGTCTAGTTCCTGTCAGGTAGGAGCCTATCACATGGCCCATGTCTAGTTCCTGTCAGGTAGGAGCCAATCACATGGCCCATGTCTAGTTCCTGTCAGGTAGGAGCCTATCACAGGGCCCCATGTCTAGTTCCTGTAGGTAGGAGCCAATCACATGGCCCATGTCTATTTCCGTCGGGAGGGCCTATACATGGCCCGTTTTCCCTGTAGGGGGGAAATTAGATATACGCCCAGTTATTCCTGCAGGTAGGACAATTTGGGTAGAAAAGCCCTGTAATTCCGTCAGGAGGTTCAATTGCTAGACATAGCCCATGTTGTTCCTGTCAGGTGGGTTTAAATTAGTTCACATGCCAGTTAGTTTGTCGGAGGTTTCAATTAGCCAAGCACTTAGCCTGTCTAGTCTGTAGGTGGTTTTAAATTAGCTATCAATAGCCTGTTAGTTCCTGTCGGGTAGGATTCAATTAGAATCAAACCCCATTTATTATGTAGGTAAAATTTAATTAGCCTAGCACTAGCCCATGTCTAGTCATGTCAGGTAGGTTAATTGGTTGCCATAGCCCATGCTATTCCCTTCAGGTAGGATTAAAAGGGAGCACTACCCCTTTTATTACTGTCAGGTAGGATTCAATTAGCGTAGCACATAGCCCATGTGAAATTCCTGTCAGGTAGGATTCAATTAGCCTATCACATAGCCCATGTCTAGTTCCTGTCAGGTGAGACCAACATGATGGACAAGGGATAATGCAAACTGAATTATGACTCAAAAGTTAACATCATGAGCCGAGATGAATGATAACCAATATAATATAACATTAATTGGGGTTAAGGCCCTGCAACTGACTAGTTGCCTCCTGCTCCGATGAGCCTTTCTGGCTAGGACAAGGTTGACTTACTTTATGATATACAATACTCTCTTTAAACATCTATCTCGCTTGAATGAGCTCTCTGAGACTCTCAAGACCGTTCTTACAAAGGTTTAGTTGAGTGAGTACAGGGGTACAATGATACCACATGCAGTAATCTATCTGGGTCCTGTCTCCTGTCAGGTGACAGCCAGTCAGCTCAGCAGTTCCTGGATTTCTGTCTGGAGAGAGACCCAACCATTGCTGAGGTCCACCTGCTGCAGGCCAGGATGCACCTCCATGATGGGGACTACAACCGCTGCTTTCAGTCCATGGAGACTGGAGTCAGCCACAACTTCCAGGTTAGAGGCCAGACTGGAGTCAGCCACAACTTCCAGGTAAACTAGTTTAGAGACCAGACTGGAGTCAGCCACAACTTCCAGGTAAAACTAGTGTAGAGACCAGAATGGAGTCAGCCCACAACTTCCAGGTAAACTAGTTTAGAGACCAGACTGGAGTCAGCCACAACTTCCAGGTAAACTAGTGTAGAGACCAGACTGGAGTCAGCCACAACTTCCAGGTAAACTAGTTTAGAGACCAGACTGGAGTCAGCCACAACTTCCAGGTAAACTAGTGTAGAGACCAGACTGAGTCAGACACAACTTCCACGCGTTAAACTAGTGTAGAGACCAGACTGGAGTCAGCCACAACTTCCAGGTAAACTAGTGTAGAGACCAGACTGGAGTCAGCCACAACTTCCAGGTAAACTAGTGTAGAGACCAGACTGGAGTCAGCCACAACTTCCAGGTAAACTATGTGTAGAGGACCAGACTGGAGTCAGCCACAACTTCGGTAAAACTAGTTGTAGAGACAGACTGGAGTCAGCCACAACTTCCAAAGGTTAGGAGACCAGACTGGGTCAGCCACAACTTCCAGGTAAACTAGTGTAGACCAGACAGAGTCAGCCACAACTTCCAGGTAAACTAGTGTAGAGACCAGACTGGAGTCAGCCATCTTCCAGTAAACTAGTTAGAGAGCCAGACGGAGTCAGCCACAACTTCCAGGTAAACTAGTGAGAGACCAGACTGGAGTCAGCCACAACTTCCAGGTAAACTAGTGTAGAGACCAGACTGAGTCAGCCACAACTTCCAGGTAAACTAGTGTAGAGACCAGACTGGAGTCAGCACAACTTCAGGTAAACTAGTGTAGAGACCAGACTGGAGTCAGCCACACTTCCAGGTAAAACTAGTGTAGAGACCAGACATGGAGTCAGCCACAACTTCCAGGTAAACTAGTTAGAGACCAGACTGGAGTCAGCCACAATCCAGGTAAACTAGTGTAGAGACCAGACTGGAGTCAGCCACAACTTCAGGTAAACTAGTGTAGAGACCAGACCAGAGTCAGCCACAACTTCCAGGTAAATAGTGAGAGCCAGACTGGAGGTCAGCCACAACTTCCAGGTAAACTAGTGTAGAGACCAGACGGAGTCAGCCACAACTTCCAGGTAAACTAGTGTAGAGACCAGACCAGAGTCAGCCACAACTTCCAGGTAAACTAGTGTAGAGACCAGACTGGAGTCAGCCACAACTTCCAGGTAAACTAGTGTAGAGACCAGACCGGAGTCAGCCACAACTTCCAGGTTAGAGACCAGACCGGAGTCAGCCACAACTTCCAGGTAAACTAGTGTAGAGACCAGACTGGAGTCAGCCACAACTTCCAGGTAAACTAGTGTAGACGACAGACTGGAGTCAGCACAACTTCCAGGTAAACTAGTGTAGAGAACCAGACTGAGTCAGCCACAACTTCAGGTAAACTAGTGTAGAGACCAGACTGGAGTCAGCCACAACTTCCAGGTAAACTAGTGTAGAGACCAGACGGAGTCAGCCACAACTTCAGGTAAACTAGTTAGGACCAATGGAGTCAGCCACAACTTCCAGGTAAACTAGTGTAGAGACCAGACTGGAGTCAGCCACAACTTCCAGGTAAACTAGTGTAGAGACCAGACTGGAGTCAGCCACAACTTCCAGGTAAACTAGTGTAGAGACCAGACTGGAGTCAGCCACAACTTCCAGGTAAACTAGTGTAGAGACCAGACCGGAGTCAGCCACAACTTCAGGTAAAACTAGTGTAGAGACCAGACTGGAGTCAGCCACAACTTCCAGGTAAAACTAGTGTAGAGACAGACTGGAGTCAGCCACAACATTCCAGGTAAACTAGTGTAGAGACCAGACTGGAGTCAGCCACAACTTCCAGGTAAACTAGTGTAGAGACCAGACTGGAGTCAGCCACAACTTCCAGGTAAACTAGTGTAGAGACCAGACCAGAGTCAGCCACAACTTCCAGGTAAACTAGTGTAGAGACCAGACTGGAGTCAGCCACAACTTCCAGGTAAACTAGTGTAGAGACTGGACTGGAGTCAGCCAACAACTTCCAGGTAAACTAGTGTAAGAAGAGGACCAGACTTGAGTCAGCCACCAAATTCCAGGTGAAAATAGGTAGAAGAGAACAGACTGGAGTCAGCCCACCAACTTCCAGGTTAAACTAGTGTAGAGGACAACTAGACTGGAGTTCAGTCCACAAACTTCCGGTAAACTAGTGTAGACAGACCAGACTTGGAGTCAGCCCACAATTCAGTTAAACTGTGTAGAGACTAGACTGGTAAGTCAAAGCCACAACTTCCAGGTAAAAATAGTGTAGAGACCCAGACTGGAGCAGCCACAACTTCCAGGTAAACTAGTGTAGAGGCAGCAGAATGGAGTCAGCCACAACTTCCAGGTAAACTAGTGTAGAGACCGACTGGAGTCAGCCACAATTCAGGTAAATTAGGTAGAGACCAGACCAGAGTCGCCACAACTCCAGGTAGACTAGTGTAGAGACCAGACTGGAGTCAGGCCTACAAACTTCCAGGTAAAATAGTGTAGGTCCAGGACCGGAGTCACACACAACTTACAGGTTAAAAAACAGTGTACGAGAACCGACCAGAGTCAGCTACAAATTCCAGGTAAACTAGTGTAGGACCAGACGGAGGCAGCCACAATTCAGGTAAACTAGTGTAGAGACAGACTGGAGTCAGCCACAACTTCCAGGTAAAACTAGTGTAGAGACCAGGACTGGACGTTCAGCCACAATCCAGGTAAACTAGTGTAGAGGACAGACTGGAGTCAGCCACAAACTCCAGGTAAACTAGGTAGAGACCAGACTGGAGTCAGCCACAACTTCCAGTTTAAAAATAGGTGTAGAGACCAGACTGGAGGCAGCCCACAATTCCAGGTAAATAGTGTAGAGACCAGGTCACACAACTTCCAGGTAAACGAGATGGGTACTTCCACTGTAGGGGGATTGATTATGTTATGTAAAGGTGTACCTCCGAATTAAGTGCATCCAGCATCACCCCCTTTTCCTCCCTCCCTCCCTCTCCTTCCCCCCCCCCCCCCACCCAGGTGCTAGAGCTTCCCCAGTACCACTTGCTGAAGGCCCGTGCGCTGCGGGGAGTTGGGGAGCTGGAGGGGGCTATCCAGTCCATGAAGATGGTGATGATGATGATGCAAGGGGTGAGGAGAGCAGTGAATGGGAGAGTGGCCCACATCAGCAACAGTGAATGTGTGTCTGTGTTCCTGGAGCTGGCTGAGGCACTGAGACTACACGGAGAACCGGTACACTACATTTCTACTTTGATTGATGATTGATTGACTGATTGGTTGATTGATTGATTACTACTTTGCTTATGGTAGTCCGTCATGTCCGATGATGACTTCCTTCCTCTTCTACCTATATTGATTCCTTTTACTGCTATAGAGACCAACCCTCTAGCCACATGGTCTGCTACAGACAAGCATGTTCAGTTTCGGCTAGTTTGTGGAAGTGACCTCATGCTGTAACACTTCCTGTTACACTGTGACTCCCTCTTCTGATCCTCAAGCTTCTGCCCTTCACTAGCAGAGCGCCAGATAGACGGTGCCTGTATAGTGTATGTCTATAAAAACCCTTCCATCCCCCCTCTCCTGCCAGCATGAGTCGACCATGGTTCTGCAGGACGCTATGGTGGCGTTCGCTGGCACCCCAGAGGAGATCTGTGTGACCGTAGCTAACGTGGACCTGGCCTTGGCTAAAGATGACCTGGACACAGCCCTCAGCATTCTCAGAGGCATCACCCCAGACCAGGTTGTCAAGACACATTTCCGTTCTTTCTAAGTTAATGGACAATAAAGTACATCTTCCTTTTCTTCTTGTTCTCATCAGACACACTACACAGTGGCCAGGGAGAAGATGGCCCTCATATACCTGCAGAGACGCAAAGACAAGAAGCTGTATATGGCCTGCTATAGGGAGATCAGAGATGAACTACCCGGGCCTCAGTCCTCTATCCTGCTGGGGGACGCCTACATGAATATACAAGAGGTATAACTCCTGAGTGGCGCAGTGGTCTAAGGCACTGCATCGCAGTGCTAACTGTGCCACTAGAGATCCTGGTTCGAATCCAGGCTCTGTCGCAGCCGGCCGCGACCGGGAGACTCATGGGCGGCGCACAATTGGCCCAGCGTCGTCCAGGGTAGGGGAGGGAATGGCCGGCAGGGATGTAGCTCTGTTGATAGAGCATGGCGTTTGCAACGCCAGGGTTGTGGGTTCGATTCCCACGGGGGGCCAGTATAAAAAAAATATGTATTCACTAACTGTAAGTCGCTCTGGATAAGAGCGTCTGCTAAATGACTAAAATGTAATGTAAATGTAATACCAAGAGATGGTCCTCTGTAACTCAGTTGGTAGAGCATGGAGCTTGGTCCTCTGTAACTCAGTTGGTAGAGCATGGAGCTTGGTCCTCTGTAGTCAGTTGGTAGAGCATGGAGCTTGGTCCTCTGTAACTCAGTTGGTAGAGCATGGAGCTTGGTCCTCTGTAGTCAGTTGGTAGAGCATGGAGCTTGGTCCTCTGTATCTCAGTTGGTAGAGCATGGAGCTTGGTCCTCTGTATCTCAGTTGGTAGAGCATGGAGCTTGGTCCTCTGTAACTCAGTTGGTAGAGCATGGAGCTTGGTCCTCTGTAACTCAGTTGGTAGAGCATGGAGCTTGGTCCTCTGTAACTCAGTTGGTAGAGCATGGAGCTTGGTCCTCTGTAACTCAGTTGGTAGAGCATGGAGCTTGGTCCTCTGTAACTCAGTTGGTAGAGCATGGAGCTTGGTCCTCTGTAACTCAGTTGGTAGAGCATGGAGCTTGGTCCTCTGTAACTCAGTTGGTAGAGCATGGAGCTTAGTCCTCTGTAACTCAGTTGGTAGAGCATGGAGATTGGTCCTCTGTAACTCAATTGGTAGAGCATGGAGCTTAGTCCTCTGTAACTCAGTTGGTAGAGCATGGATCTCGGTCCTCTGTAACTCAGTTGGTAGAGCATGGAGCTTGGTCCTCTGTAGTCAGTTGGTAGGGCATGGAGCTTGGTCCTCTGTATCTCAGTTGGTAGAGCATGGAGCTTGGTCCTCTGTAGTCAGTTGGTAGGGCATGGAGCTTGGTCCTCTGTAGTCAGTTGGTAGGGCATGGAGCTTGGTCCTCTGTAACTCAGTTGGTAGAGCATGGAGCTTGGTCCTCTGTAGTCAGTTGGTAGAGCATGGAGCTTAGTCCTCTGTAACTCAGTTGGTAGAGCATAGAGCTTGGTCCTCTGTAACTCAGTTGGTAGAGCATGGAGCTTGGTCCTCTGTAACTCAGTTGGTAGAGCATGGAGCTTGGTCCTCTGTAGTCAGTTGGTAGGGCATGGAGCTTGGTCCTCTGTAGTCAGTTGGTAGAGCATGGAGCTTGCAATGCCAGGATAGTGGGTTCGATTTCTGGGACCACCCATGTGTAAAAAATTAATAAAATGCACGCATGACTGTAAATGGCTTTGGATAAAAGAGTGTGATAAATGGCATATGACTGTAAATGGCTTTGGATAAAAGAGTGTGATGAATGGCACACCAGTGGTACCTTGTGTACTGCATGTTCTTTACTGTGGTGTCCACAGTACATTATTAGGGCTTTGCAAATGCCTTGAAACAGGTATATCAAATGTCACATTTCTATTCTGCAGCCAGAGAGAGCCATTGAGGTGTATCAAGAGGCAATGAGAGAGACGGTCCGGGATGCAACCCTGTCCAGAAAGATGGGCCAAGCCTATGTGAAAACCCATCAGTACAACCAGGTATTGTAGACAGGGAAGGCTGCAGCAAAGGTTCAAGCACAAATACTGCTCAGTGCTCACTCAGGACATTCTCCCCATTTCAGACTATTTCTCAAGAGTAAAAGCTGTATTTGTTAGCCAATTACTAAGGAATGTTCTCATACTGTTCCCTCCCTCCTCACTCTATTACTAACCTGATTGGTCCTGCAGGCTGTCAGTCACTATGAGTGTTTATTTACATTTACATCATTTAGCAGACGCTCTTATCCAGAGCGACTTACAAATTGGTGCATTCACCTTATGATAGCCAGTGGGACAACCACATTTAAAAAAAACTTTTTTTTAATTATTTTTTTTATTTTTTTTAAATATGGGGTGGGGGAAGAAGGATTACTTTATACTATTCCGGGTATTCCTTAAAGTGGTGGGGTTTCAAGTGTCTCCGGAAGGTGGTGAGTGACTCCGCTGTCTTGGCGTCGTGAGGGAGCTTGTTCCACCATTGGGGTGCCAGAGCAGTGAATAGCTTTGACTGGGCTGAGCGGGAACTGTGCTTCCGTAGAGGTAGGGGGGCCAGCAGGCCAGAGGTGGATGAACGTAGTGCCCTCGTTTGGGTGTAGGGTCTGATCAGAGCCTGAAGGTAAGGAGGTGCCGTTCCCCTCACAGCTCCGTAGGCAAGCACCAGGTTCTTGTAGCAGATGCGAGCTTCAACTGGGAGCCAGTGGAGTGTGCGGAGGAGTGGGGTGACATGAAAGAACTTGGGAAGGTTGAACACCAGACGGGCTGCAGCGTTCTGGATAAGTTGAAGGGGTTTAATGGCACAGGCAGGGAGCCCAGCCAACAGCGAGTTGCAGTAATCCAGACGGGAGATGACAAGTGCCTGGATTAGGACCTGTGCCGCTTCCTGTGTAAGGCAGGGTCGTACTCTCCGAATGTTGTAGAGCATGAACCTACAGGATCGGGTCACCGCTTTGATGTTAGCGGAGAACGACAGGGTATTGTCCAGGATCACGCCAAGGTCCTTTGCCCTCTGGGAGGAGGACACAATGGAGTTGTCAACCGTGATGGCGAGATCATGGAGCGGGCAGTCCTTCCCCGGGAGGAAGAGCAGCTCCGTCTTGCCGAGGTTCAGCTTGAGGTGGTGATCCGTCATCCATACTGATATGTCTGCCAGACATGCAGAGATGCAATTCGCCACCTGGTTATCAGAAGGGGGAAAGGAGAAGATTAATTGTGTGTCGTCTGCGTAGCAATGATAGGAGAGACCATGTGAGAATATGACAGAGCCAAGTGACTTGGTGTATAGAGAGAATAGGAGAGGGCCTAGAACTGAGCCCTGGGGGACACTAGTGGTGAGAGCATGTGGTGCGGAGACAGATTCTCGCCACGCCACCTGGTAGGAGCGACCTGTCAGGTAGGACGCAATCCAAGAGTGAGCAGCGCCGGAGATGCCCAACTCGGAGAGGGTGGAGAGGAGGATCTGATGGTTCACAGTATCAAAGGCAGCGGATAGGTCTAGAAGGATAAGAGCAGAGGAGAGAGAGTTAGCTTTAGCAGTGCGGAGAGCCTCTCTGACACAGAGAAGAGCCGTCTCAGTTGAATGACCAGTCTTGAAACCTGACTGGTTTGGATCAAGAAGGTCATTCTGAGAGAGATAGCAGGAGAGTTGGCTAGAGACGGCACGCTCAAGAGTTTTGGAGAGAAAAGAAGGGGTGCAACTCTCGCTCTCTTGAAGACGGAAGGGACATGGACAGCGGTCAAGGATGAGTTGATGAGCGAGGTGAGGTAAGGGAGAAGGTCTCCGGAAATGGTCTGGAGAAGAGAGTAGGGGATAGGGTCAAGCGGGCAGGTTGTTGGGCGGCTGGCCGTCACAAGTCGCAAGATTTCATCTGGAGAGAGAGGGGAGAAAGAAGTCAGTGCAGTGTGAGCAGGACCAGCGGTGTCATTTGACTTAATAAATGAGGATCGGATGTCGTCAACCTTCTTTTCAAAATGGTTGACGAAGTCATCCACAGAGAGGGATGAGGGAGGGGGAGGAGGAGGGGGATTCAGCAGGGAGGAGAAGGTGGCAAAGAGCTTCCTAGGGTTAGAGGCAGAGGCTTGAAATTTATAGTGGTAGAAAGTGGCTTTAGCAGCAGAAACAGATGAAGAAAATGTAGAGAGGAGGGAGTGAAAAGATGACAGGTCCGCAGGGAGTCTAGTTTTCCTCCATTTCCGCTCGGCTGCCCGGAGCCCTGTTCTGTGGGCTCGCAAAGAGTCGTCAAGCCACGGAGCAGGAGGGGAGGACCGAGCCGGCCGGGAGGATAGGGGACATAGAGAGTCAAAGGATTCAGAAAGAGATGATAGGATGGAAGAGGAGAGTGTAACCTGATTGGTCCTGCAGGCTGTCGGACACTATGAGTGTGTTTATATCACTAACCTGATTGGTCCTGCAGGCTGTCAGTCACTATGAGTGTGTTTATATCACTAACCTGATTGGTCCTGTAGGCTGTCAGTCACTATGATAGTGTTTTATATATAACCTGATTGGTCCTGCAGGCTGTCAGTCACAATGAGAGTGTTTTATATATAACCTGATTGGTCCTGTAGGCTGTCAGTCACTATGAGAGTGTTTTTATATATAACCTGATTGGTCCTGTAGGCTGTCAGTCACTATGAGAGTGTTTTATATATAACCTGATTGGTCCTGCAGGCTGTCAGTCACTATGAGAGTGTTTTATATATAACCTGATTGGTCCTGTAGGCTGTCAGTCACTATGAGAGTGTTTTATATATAACCTGATTGGTCCTGCAGGCTGTCAGTCACTATGAGAGTGTTTTATATATAACCTGATTGGTCCTGCAGGCTGTCAGTCACTATGAGAGTGTTTTATATATAACCTGATTGGTCCTGTAGGCTGTCAGTCACTATGAGAGTGTTTTATATATAACCTGATTGGTCCTGTAGGCTGTCAGTCACTATGAGAGTGTTTTATATATAACCTGATTGGTCCTGCAGGCTGTCAGTCACTATGATAGTGTTTTATATGTAACCTGATTGGTCCTGCAGGCTGTCAGTCACTATGATAGTGTTTTATATGTAACCTGATTGGTCCTGCAGGCTGTCAGTCACTATGAGAGTGTTTTATATATAACCTGATTGGTCCTGCAGGCTGTCAGTCACTATGAGAGTGTTTTATATATAACCTGATTGGTCCTGAAGGCTGTCAGTCACTATGAGAGTGTTTTATATGTAACCTGATTGGTCCTGCAGGCTGTCAGTCACTATGAGAGTGCAGTGAAGCTGGGAGGTCATGACTCTCTGGTGGTGAACCTGGCAGAGCTCCTGCTGAAGCTGGGTCAGTATGGCAAGGCCCAGAGGACTCTGATGACCGCTCTGCACTGTGATGATGGCACACTGACCGTCTCCAGCCTGATGAGCAACGTACAGTACTTTCTGCTGCTAGCCAGAGCACACTATGCTGACCAGGGATCAGTCCAGGACACTCTAGAGAAGGTAAGGCTTAGAGTTAGGGTTACTCTGGAGAAGGTCATGGTTAGAGGTAGGGTTACTCTGGAGAAGGTCAGGGTTAGAGATATGGTTACTCTGGAGAAGGTCAGGGTTAGAGTTAGGGTTACTCTGGAGAAGGTCAGGGTTAGAGTTAGGGTTACTATAGAGAAGGTCAGGGTTAGAGTTAGGGTTACTATAGAGAAGGTCAGGGTTAGAGAGAGGGTTACTCTGGAGAAGGTCAGGGTTAGAGAGAGGGTTACTCTGGAGAAGGTCAGGGTTAGAGTTAGGGTTACTCTGGAGAAGGTCAGGGTTAGGGTTACTCTAGAGAAGGTCAGGGTTAGAGAGAGGGTTACTCTGGAGAAGGTCTGGGTTAGGGTTACTCTGGAGAAGGTCAGGGTTAGAGATATGGTTACTCTGGAGAAGGTCAGGGTTAGGGTTACTCTAGAGAAGGTCAGGGTTAGAGAGAGGGTTACTCTGGAGAAGGTCAGGGTTAGGGTTTCTCTGGAGAAGGTCTTTGAACGATGACATGTTGATAGTCATTTTCCACAGTACAGTAACTAGTTCACTCAGTATGACCGTAGCCAGTTTGTGTTCTATGTAGTGATGTGTGAGGAGGAAGTCCCTTTACCAATGGGCTGTGTGTTTCTTCCATGGTGTCGGTCTCTCCCAGTCCCACAGTGTCCAGATGAGGGTCCTGAAGCGTTGTCAGACAGAGCGCCCAGAGCTCCTGGAGCAGGAGAGAAACGTGCTGTGGTCCATCTGCTGTCAGCTGGCCAGACACTACCGGAGCACGACCCATAGAGACAAAACCATGTACTACTACAACCAGGCTATAGTAGCCATCAGAGGACAGACTACAGGGTTAGTATCACTACAACCAGGCTATAGTAGCCATCAGAGGACAGACTACAGGGTTAGTATCACTACAACCAGGCTATAGTAGCCATCAGAGGACAGACTACAGGGTTAGTATTACTACAACCAGGCTATAGTAGCCATCAGAGGACAGACTACAGGGTTAGTATCACTACAACCAGGCTATAGTAGCCATCAGAGGACAGACTACAGGGTTAGTATCACTACAACCAGGCTATAGTAGCCATCAGAGGACAGACTACAGGGTTAGTATCACTACAACCAGGCTATAGTAGCCATCAGAGGACAGACTACAGGGTTAGTATCACTACAACCAGGCTATAGTAGCCATCAGAGGACAGACTACAGGGTTAGTATAACTACAACCAGGCTATAGTAGCCATCAGCAGGACAGACTACAGGGTTAGTATCACTACAAACCAGGCTATAGTAGCCATCAGAGGACAGACTACAGGGTTAGTATCACTACAACCAGGCTATAGTAGCCATCAGAGGACAGACTACAGGGTTAGTATCACTACAACCAGGCTATAGTAGCCATCAGCAGGACAGACTACAGGGTTAGTATCACTACAACCAGGCTATAGTAGCCATCAGAGGACAGACTACAGGGTTAGTATCACTACAACCAGGCTATAGTAGCCATCAGAGGACAGACTACAGGGTTAGTATTACTACAACCAGGCTATAGTAGCCATCAGAGGACAGACTACAGGGTTAGTATCACTACAACCAGGCTATAGTAACCATCAGAGGACAGACTACAGGGTTAGTATTACTACAACCAGGCTATAGTAGCCATCAGAGGACAGACTACAGGGTTAGTATCACTACAACCAGGCTATAGTAGCCATCAGAGGACAGACTACAGGGTTAGTATTACTAACAACCAGGCTATAGTAGCCATCAGAGGACAGACTACAGGGTTAGTATCACTACAACCAGGCTATAGTAGCCATCAGCAGGACAGACTACAGGGTTAGTATCACTACAACCAGGCTATAGTAGCCATCAGAGGACAGACTACAGGGTTAGTATTACTACAACCAGGCTATAGTAGCCATCAGAGGACAGACTACAGGGTTAGTATCACTACAACCAGGCTATAGTAGCCATCAGAGGACAGACTACAGGGTTAGTATCACTACAACCAGGCTATAGTAGCCATCAGAGGACAGACTACAGGGTTAGTATCACTACAACCAGGCTATAGGAGCCATCAGAGGACAGACTACAGGGTTAGTATCACTACAACCAGGCTATAGTAGCCATCAGAGGACAGACTACAGGGTTAGTATCACTACAACCAGGCTATAGTAGCCATCAGAGGACAGACTACAGGGTTAGTATCACTACAACCAGGCTATAGTAGCCATCAGAGGACAGACTACAGGGTTTAGTATAACTACAACCAGGCTATAGTAGCCATCAGAGGACAGACTACAGGGTTAGTATCACTACAACCAGGCTATAGTAGCCATCAGAGGACAGACTACAGGGTTAGTATCACTACAACCAGGCTATAGTAGCCATCAGAGGACATACTACAGGGTTAGTATCACTACAACCAGGCTATAGTAGCCATCAGAGGACATACTACAGGGTTAGTATCACTACAACCAGGCTATAGTAGCCATCAGAGGACAGACTACAGGGTTAGTATCACTACAACCAGGCTATAGTAGCCATCAGAGGACAGACTACAGGGTTAGTATTACTACAACCAGGCTATAGTAGCCATCAGAGGAAAGACTACAGGGTTAGTATCACTACAACCAGGCTATAGTAGCCATCAGCAGGACAGGGTTAGTATCACTACAACCAGGCTATAGTAGTCATCAGAGGACAGACTACAGGGTTAGTATCACTACAACCAGGCTATAGTAGTCATCAGAGGACAGACTACAGGGTTAGTATCACTACAACCAGGCTATAGTAGCCATCAGAGGACAGACTACAGGGTTAGTATAACTACAACCAGGCTATAGTAGCCATCAGAGGACAGACTACAGGGTTAGTATCACTACAACCAGGCTATAGTAGCCATCAGAGGACAGACTACAGGGTTAGTATAACTACAACCAGGCTATAGTAGCCATCAGCAGGACAGACTACAGGGTTAGTATCACTACAACCAGGCTATAGTAGCCATCAGAGGACAGACTACAGGGTTAGTATCACTACAACCAGGCTATAGTAGCCATCAGAGGACAGACTACAGGGTTAGTATAACTACAACCAGGCTATAGTAGCCATCAGCAGGACAGACTACAGGGTTAGTATCACTACAACCAGGCTATAGTAGCCATCAGAGGACAGACTACAGGGTTAGTATCACTACAACCAGGCTATAGTAGCCATCAGAGGACAGACTACAGGGTTAGTATCACTACAACCAGGCTATAGTAGTCATCAGAGGACAGACTACAGGGTTAGTATTACTACAACCAGGCTATAGTAGCCATCAGAGGACAGACTACAGGGTTAGTATTACTACAACCAGGCTATAGTAGCCATCAGAGGACAGACTACAGGGTTAGTATCACTACAACCAGGCTATAGTAGCCATCAGAGGACAGACTACAGGGTTAGTATCACTACAACCAGGCTATAGTAGCCATCAGCAGGACAGACTACAGGGTTAGTATCACTACAACCAGGCTATAGGAGCCATCAGCACGACAGACTACAGGGTTAGTATCACTACAACCAGGCTATAGTAGCCATCAGAGGACAGACTACAGGGTTAGTATCACTACAACCAGGCTATAGTAGCCATCAGAGGACAGACTACAGGGTTAGTATCACTACAACCAGGCTATAGTAGCCATCAGCAGGACAGACTACAGGGTTAGTATCACTACAACCAGGCTATAGGAGCCATCAGCACGACAGACTACAGGGTTAGTATCACTACAACCAGGCTATAGTAGCCATCAGAGGACAGACTACAGGGTTAGTATCACTACAACCAGGCTATAGGAGCCATCAGCACGACAGACTACAGGGTTAGTATCACTACAACCAGGCTATAGTAGCCATCAGAGGACATACTACAGGGTTAGTATCACTACAACCAGGCTATAGTAGCCATCAGAGGACAGACTACAGGGTTAGTATCACTACAACCAGGCTATAGTAGCCATCAGAGGACAGACTACAGGGTTAGTATCACTACAACCAGGCTATAGGAGCCATCAGCACGACAGACTACAGGGTTAGTATTACTACAACCAGGCTATAGTAGCCATCAGAGGAAAGACTACAGGGTTAGTATCACTACAACCAGGCTATAGTAGCCATCAGCAGGACAGGGTTAGTATCACTACAACCAGGCTATAGTAGTCATCAGAGGACAGACTACAGGGTTAGTATCACTACAACCAGGCTATAGTAGTCATCAGAGGACAGACTACAGGGTTAGTATCACTACAACCAGGCTATAGTAGCCATCAGAGGACAGACTACAGGGTTAGTATAACTACAACCAGGCTATAGTAGCCATCAGAGGACAGACTACAGGGTTAGTATCACTACAACCAGGCTATAGTAGCCATCAGAGGACAGACTACAGGGTTAGTATAACTACAACCAGGCTATAGTAGCCATCAGCAGGACAGACTACAGGGTTAGTATCACTACAACCAGGCTATAGTAGCCATCAGAGGACAGACTACAGGGTTAGTATCACTACAACCAGGCTATAGTAGCCATCAGAGGACAGACTACAGGGTTAGTATAACTACAACCAGGCTATAGTAGCCATCAGCAGGACAGACTACAGGGTTAGTATCACTACAACCAGGCTATAGTAGCCATCAGAGGACAGACTACAGGGTTAGTATCACTACAACCAGGCTATAGTAGCCATCAGAGGACAGACTACAGGGTTAGTATCACTACAACCAGGCTATAGTAGTCATCAGAGGACAGACTACAGGGTTAGTATTACTACAACCAGGCTATAGTAGCCATCAGAGGACAGACTACAGGGTTAGTATCACTACAACCAGGCTATAGTAGCCATCAGAGGACAGACTACAGGGTTAGTATCACTACAACCAGGCTATAGTAGCCATCAGCAGGACAGACTACAGGGTTAGTATCACTACAACCAGGCTATAGGAGCCATCAGCACGACAGACTACAGGGTTAGTATCACTACAACCAGGCTATAGTAGCCATCAGAGGACAGACTACAGGGTTAGTATCACTACAACCAGGCTATAGTAACCATCAGCAGGACAGACAGGATGTGAGGAGTATGGGCAGTGTGTCTTGTAGTTTTCTCTGTGCCTCTAGTGAACTGATCTACCGTATATCAATGTTCTTTAGTATTGATCAACAGTACCAATCAAAAGTTTGGACACACCTACTCATTCAAGGGTTTTTCTTTATTGTTACTATTTTCTCTATTGTAGAATAATAGTGAAGACATCAACACTATGAAATAACACATATGGAATCATGTAGTAACCAAAAAAGTGTTAAACAAATCAAAATATATTTTATATTCCTCAAAGTAGCCAGCCTTTGCCTTGATGACAGCTTTGCACACTCTTGGCATTCTCTCAAAAGAGAAACAAAGAGAAACAACAGTCCATCATTACTTTAAGACATGAAGGTCAGTCAATCTGGAACATTTCAAGAACATTGAAAGTTTCTTCAAGTGCAGTCGCAAAAACCATGAAGCGCTATGATGAAACTGGCTCTCATGAGGACCGCCACAGGAATGGAAGACCCAGAGTTACCTCTGCTGCAGAGGATAAGTTCATTATAGTTCCCAGCCTCAGAAATTGCATCCCAAATAAATGCTTCACAGTAACAGACACATCTCAACATCAACTATTCAGAGGAGACTGCGTGAATCAGGCCTTCATGGTTGAATTGCTGCAAAGAAACCACTACTAAAGGACACCAATAAGAAGAAGAGACTTGCTTGGGCCAAGAAACATGAGCAATGGACGTTAGACCGGTGGAAATCTGTCCTTTGGTCTGATGAGTCCAAATTTTTATTCCAACCGCCGTGTCTTTGTGAGACGCAGAGTAGGTGAACGGATGATCTCCGCATGTGTGGTTCCCACCATGAAGCATGGAGGAGGAGGAGTTATGGTGTGGGGGTGCTTTGCTGGTGAACCTCTGTGATTTATTTAGAATTCAATGCACACTTAACCAGCATGGCTACCACAGCATTCCGCAGCGATACGCCATCCCATCTGGATTGCACTTAGTGGGACTATCAATTGTTTTTCAACAGGACAATGACCCAACACACCTCCAGGCTGCGTATGGGCTATTTGACCAAGAAGGAGAGTGATGGAGTGCTGCATCAGATGACCTGGCCTCCACAATCACCCGACCTCAACCCAATTGAGATGGTTTGGGATGAGTTGGACCGCAGAGTGAAGGAAAAGCAGCCAACAAGTGGTCAGCATATGTGGGAACTCCTTCAAGACTGTTGGAAAAGCATTCCAGGTGAAGCTGGTTGAGAGAATGCCAAGAATGTGCAAAGCTGTCATCAAGGCAAAGGGTGGCTACTTTGAAGAATCTAAAATATATTTTGATTTGTTTAACACTTTTTGGTTAGTACATGATTCCATGTGTGTTATTTCATAGTTTTGATGTCTTCACTATTATTCTACAATGTAGAAAATAGTAGAAAATTAAGAAAAACCCTTGAATGAGTAGGTGTGTCCAAACTTTTGACTGGTACTGTATATTCTGTAGATATGATATATATCTATATTCTGTAGAACTGATCTATAGCTAAATTCTGTAGATATGATCTATAGCTAAATTCTGTAGATATGATCTATAGCTAAATTCTGTAGATATGATCTATAGCTAAATTCTGTAGATATGATCTATAGCTATATTCTGTAGATATGATCTATAGCTAAATTCTGTAGATATGATCTATAGCTAAATTCTGTAGATATGATCTATAGCTAAATTCTGTAGATATGATCTATAGCTAAATTATGTATATATGATCTATAGCTAAATTCTGTAGAACTGATCTATAGCTAAATTCTGTAGATATGATCTATAGCTAAATTCTGTATATATGATCTATAGCTAAATTCTGTATATATGATCTATAGCTAAATTCTGTAGATATGATCTATAGCTAAATTCTGTATATATGATCTATAGCTAAATTCTGTAGATATGATCTATAGCTAAATTCTGTATATATGATCTACAGCTATATTCTGTAGAACTGATCTATAGCTATATTCTGTATATATGATCTATATCTATATTCTGTAGAACTGATCTATAGCTAAATTCTGTATATATGATCTATAGCTATATTCTGTATATATGATCTACAGCTATATTCTGTATATATGATCTATATCTATATTCTGTATATATGATCTATATCTATATACTGTAGAACTGATCTATAGCTATATTCTGTAGAACTGATCTATATCTATATTCTGTATATATGATCTATATCTATATTCTGTAGAACTGATCTATATCTATATTCTGTAGAACTGATCTATATCTATATTCTGTATATATGATCTATAGCTATATTCTGTAGAACTGATCTATATCTATATTCTGTAGATATGATCTATAGCTATATTCTGTATATATGATCTATAGCTATATTCTGTAGAGCTGATCTATATCTATATTCTGTAGATATGATCTATAGCTATATTCTGTAGAACTGATCTATAGCTATATTCTGTAGAACTGATCTATATCTATATTCTGTAGAACTGATCTATATCTATATTCTGTAGAACTGATCTATATCTATATTCTGTAGAACTGATCTATATCTATATTCTGTAGAGCTGCTCTATTCTCCCCTATCAGATCAGTCTGGAGTTAGCCCAGTTCTATCTGGAGAATCGGAAGACAGATGAAGCCATGATGCAGGTTGAGGAGGTGCTGGGAAAGGATGCTCTCCACCCTGACGCCACAATGGTACAATCCTCTCCTCTATATACACTATATATACAAAAGTATGAGGACACCCCTTCAAATTAGTAGATTCGGCTATTTCAGCCACACCCGTTGCTGACAGGTGTATAAAATTGAGCACACAGCCATGCAGTCTCCATAGACAAACATTGGCAGTAGAATGGCCTTACTGAAGAGATCAGTGACTTTCAACGTGGCACCATCATAGGATGCCACCTTTCCAACAAGTCAGTTCGTCAGATTTCTGCCCTGCTAGAGTTGCCCCGGTCAACTGTAAGTGCAGTTATTGTCAAGTGGAAACGTCTCGGAGCAACAACGGCTCAGCAGTGAAGTGGTAGGCCACACATGCTCACAGAATGGGACCGCCTGTGCTGAAGCGCATAGTGTGTAAAAATTGTCTGTCCTCGGTTGCAACACTCACTACCGAGTTCCAAACGGCCTCTGGAAGCAACGTCAGCACAATAACTGTTCTTCGGGAGCTTCATGAAATGGGTTTCCATGGCAGAGCAGACGCACACAAGCCTAAGATCACCATGAGCCATGCCAAGCGCCGGCTGGAGTGGTGTAAAGCTCGCCGCCATTGGACTCTGGAGCAGAGGAAACGCGTTCTCTGGAGTGATGAATCACGCTATACCATCTGGCAGTCCGTTTGGTGGATGCCAAGAGAACGCTACCTGCCCCAATGCATAGTGCCACCTGTAAAGTTTGGTGGAGGAGGAATAATGGTCTGGGGCTGTTTTTCATGGTTCGGTCTAGGCCCCTTAGTTCCAGTGAAGGGAAATCTTAACTCTACAGGCAACAGTTTAGGGAAGGCCCTTTCCTGTTTCAGCATGACAATATCCCCGTGCACAAAGCTAGGTCCATACAGAAATGGTTTGTCGAGCCCTGACCTCAACCCCATCGAACACATTTGGGATGAATTGGAACGCCGACTGCGAGCCAGGCCTAATCGCCCAACATCAGTGCCCGACCTCACTAATGCTCTTGTGGCTGAATGGAAGCAAGTCCCCGCAGCAATGTTCCAACATCTAGTGGAAAGCCTTCCCAGAAGAGTGGAGGCTGTTATAGCAGCAATGGGGGGAACCAACTCCATATTAATGATTTTAGAATGAGATGTTCGACGAGCAGGTGTCCACATACTTTTGGTTCATGTGGTGTATAACACCCCCCTGAGGCCACAATGGTATGGTCCTCTCTTCTCTATATAACATCCCCCTGAGGCCACAATGGTACGGTCCTCTCTCCTCTATATAACATCCCCCTGAGGCCACAATGGTACGGTCCTCTCTCCTCTATATAACATCCCCCTGAGGCCACAATGGTACGGTCCTCTCTCCTCTATATAACATCCCCCTGAGCCCACAATGGTATGGTCCTCTCTCCTCTATATAACATCCCCCTGAGGCCACAATGGTACGGCCCTCTCTCCTCTATATAACATCCCCCTGAGGCCACAATGGTACGGTCCTCTCTCCTCTATATAACATCCCCCTGAGCCCACAATGGTACGGTCCTCTCTCCTCTATATAACATCCCCCTGAGGCCACAATGGTACGGCCCTCTCTCCTCTTTGTACATTATACGTGCTAGAGCACACTGGGCAGGTTGACATCCGCATCATGTTCCTGTGTCTGCCTGAAGGTGTACGGAGATATCAAGTTGCAGGAGGAGAAGTTTGATGAGTCTTTGGAGATATACCTTGGACTGATGGGGAGATGCCCAGGTACTATTTTATACAGACTACCGTTATTGGACTCATGTTGTACAACTTTATTTGGATCCTGTCCGGGTACCTCACCCATGTTGTCTAGACCAGGGGTATTCAAATCGGACCCTACGAAGTCCGGATTACAGCTGGTTTTCTGTTCTACCTGATCATTATTTGCACCCCCCTGGTGTCCCAGGTCTAAATCAGTACCTGATTAGAGGGGAACAATGAAAAAGCAGTAGAACTGGCTTCCAGGTCCAGTGTATAGCAGCATATAGTATATACTGCTGTCTAATGGTGTTGTTACTGACCCCTAGATAACTACAGTGTATAGCAGCATATAGTATATACTGCTGTCTAATGGTGTTGTTACTGACCCCTAGATAACTACAGTGTATAGCAGCATATAGTATATACTGCTGTCTAATGGTGTTGTTACTGACCCCTAGATAAGTACAGTGTATAGCAGCATATAGTATATACTGCTGTCTAATGGTGTTGTTACTGACCCCTAGATAACTACAGTGTATAGCAGCATATAGTATATACTGCTGTCTAATGGTGTTGTTACTGACCCCTAGATAAGTACAGTGTATAGCAGCATATAGTATATACTGCTGTCTAATGGTGTTGTTACTGACCCCTAGATAACTACAGTGTATAGCAGCATATAGTATATACTGCTGTCTAATGGTGTTGTTACTGACCCCTAGATAACTACGTGTTCCTGGCAAAGTGTATCCAGGTGCTGAGACGGTCAGCCAAACTGGATGATGCCCTGGCCCTGTTTGACGCCTGTGAGCTCCACAACCACCGAGCTACCTCTGATCCTGGATACAACTACTGTAAAGGTCTTTACTACTGGTGAGTGTCTAATACAACAACTACTGTAAAGGTCTTTACTACTGGTGAGTGTCTAATACAACAACTACTGTAAAGGTCTTTACTACTGGTGAGTGTGTTATATCCCGAAGTTATAAAAAAAAAAGTATAATCTCTCAAAGGAATTGTTTTTAGGAAGAGGAACACGACAGATGTCCTCTCTCTCTTCTCCTTTTCATTATAGATGTATAGAACTAGCTGTATAGTGAGTGTCTAGTCTCTAGCTGTATAGAACTAGCTGTATAGTGAGTGTCTAGTCTCTAGCTGTATAGAACTAGCTGTATAGTGAGTGTCTAGTCTCTAGCTGTATAGAACTAGCTGTATAGTGAGTGTCTAGTCTCTAGCTGTATAGAACTAGCTGTATAGTGAGTGTCTAGTCTCTAGCTGTATAGAACTAGCTGTATAGTGAGTGTCTAGTCTCTAGCTGTATAGAACTAGCTGTATAGTGAGTGTCTAGTCTCTAGCTTGTATAGAACTAGCTGTATAGTGAGTGTCTAGTCTCTAGCTGTATAGAACTAGCTGTATAGTGAGTGTCTAGTCTCTAGCTGTATAGAACTAGCTGTATAGTGAGTGTCTAGTCTCTAGCTGTATAGTGAGTGTCTAGTCTCTAGCTGTATAGAACTAGCTGTATAGTGAGTGTCTAGTCTAGCTGTATAGAACTAGCTGTATAGTGAGTGTCTAGTCTCTAGCTGTATAGAACTGTCTGTATAATGAGTGTCTAGTCTCTAGCTGTATAGAACTAGCTGTATAGTGAGTGTCTAGTCTCTAGCTGTATAGAACTAGTCTGTATAGTGAGTGTCTAGTCTCTAGCTGTATAGAACTAGCTGTATAGTGAGTGTCTAGTCTCTAGCTGTATAGTGAGTGTCTATTCCTCTAGCTGTAAGAACTAGCTGTATAGTGAGTGTCTTGTCTCTAGCTGTATAGAACTGTCTGTATAGTGAGTGTCTAGTCTCTAGCTGTATAGAACTAGCTGTATAGTGAGTGTCTAGTCTCTAGCTGTATAGAACTGTCTGTATAGTGAGTGTCTAGTCTCTAGCTGTATAGTGAGTGTCTAGTCTCTAGCTGTATAGAACTAGCTGTATAGTGAGTGTCTAGTCTCTAGCTGTATAGAACTAGCTGTATAGTGAGTGTTTAGTCTCTAGCTGTATAGAACTGTCTATATAGTGAGTGTCTAGTCCTCTAGTCTGTACAGAGCCTAGCTGTATAGTGAGTGTCTAGTCTCTAGCTGTATAGAACTAGCTGTATAGTGAGTGTCTAGTCTCTAGCTGTATAGAACTAGCTGTATAGTGAGTGTCTAGTCTCTAGCTGTATAGAACTAGCTGTATAGTGAGTGTCTAGTCTCTAGCTGTATAGTGAGTTACTAGTCTCTAGCTGTATAGAACTAGCTGTATAGTGAGTGTCTAGTCTCTAGCTGTATAGAACTAGCTGTATAGTGAGTGTCTAGTCTCTATGCTGTATAGAACTAGCTGTATAGTGAGTGTCTAGTCTCTAGCTGTATAGTGAGTGTCTAGTCTCTAGCTGTATAGAACTAGCTGTATAGTGAGTGTCTAGTCTCTAGCTGTATAGAACTGTCTGTATAGTGAGTGTCTAGTCTCTAGCTGTATAGTGAGTGTCTAGTCTCTAGCTGTATAGTGAGTGTCTAGTCTCTATGCTGTTGATAGAACTAGGCTGTATAGGATAGTGTTAGGTCCTAGTAGCTGTATAGAACTAGCTGTATAGTGAGTGTCTAGTCTCTAGCTGTATAGAACTAGCTGTATAGTGAGTGTCTAGTCTCTAGCTGTATAGTGAGTGTCTAGTCTCTAGCTGTATAGTGAGTGTCTAGTCTCTAGCTGTATAGAACTGTCTGTATAGTGAGTGTCTAGTCTCTAGCTGTATAGAACTAGCTGTATAGTGAGTGTCTAGTCCTCTAAGCTGTATAGAACTGTCTGTATAGTGAGTGTCTAGTCTCTAGCTGTATAGTGAGTGTCCAGTCTCTAGCTGTATAGAACTAGCTGTATAGTGAGTGTCTAGTCTCTAGCTGTATAGAACTAGCTGTATAGTGAGTGTTTAGTCTCTAGCTGTATAGAACTGTCTATATAGTGAGTGTCTAGTCTCTAGCTGTATAGAGCTAGCTGTATAGTGAGTGTCTAGTCTCTAGCTGTATAGAACTAGCTGTATAGTGAGTGTCTAGTCTCTAGCTGTATAGAACTAGCTGTATAGTGAGTGTCTAGTCTCTAGCTGGTATAGAACTAGCTGTATAGTGAGTGTCCTAGTCTCTAGCGGTATAGTGAGTTACTAGTCTCTAGCTGTATAGAACAAAGCTGTATATTGGGGGCTAGTTCAGCTTTTATAGAACTAGCTGTTAGTGAGTGTCTAGTATCTAGCTGTATAGGGAGTGTTAGTCTCAGCCTTAGAACTAGCTGTATGTGAGTGTCTTTCTAGCTGTATAAAACAAAGCTTTTTTATGGGTGGTGTCTAATTTACGTTAAAACCTGCGTAATGAGTGTCTAGTCTCAGTTTGAAATAAGCTAGCTTATAGTGGGGTTTTAGTCTCAGCTGAAATAAAAACTAGCTGTATGGGGAAATTGTCTAGATCTAGCTGTTAGAACAGCGGGTTATGTGAGTTTTCCTTAGCCCCTCAGCGGGTTTTTGAACTAGCTGAAATGGGAGGTCTAGTCTCTAGCTGTATAAAACTATTTATAGTGAGTGGTCAGTCTTAGCTTTTATAGTGAGGGGCTGTCTTAGCCGAAATAGAACGGCGGGAAAGTGAGGGGTCTAGTCTCTAGCGGGGTATATTGATGTTAGTTTTCTAGCTGAAAAATAGGGGGGTTCTGTCTCTAGTTTGTATTTGGTTGTTTTTTTTTAAAAAGCGTAAAAGGGGTTTGGGCCCTAGTTCTAGCCAAAGGAACTAGCTTATTGAGGTCATCTCTAGCTGTTTTAGAACTAGCATTTATAGTGAGTGTTTAGTTTTTAAGCTGTAAAAAACTAGCTGTATAGTGAGTGTTATCTTGCTGTAAAAAATAGCTGTATAGGAGTGTCTAGTCTTAGGGTATTGTAAAGTTATTAGTTTTCTAGCTGTATAAAAAAGCTTTTTTTTTAAGTGAGTTTTTCCTAGTTCTAAGCTTGTATAGTGAGTTTTCTTTCTCTATTTGGTTTTAGAACACTGTTAGTGATTTTCTAGCTCTAGTGTAAAAACTAGCGATGGGGATTGTTTTAGTCTCTACTGTTTAGTGATGTCTATTTTTACTCTATAGAACTGCTTTTTAAGTGAGTTTGGGCCTCTACTGTATAAAAACTAGCGGATAGTGGGGGGCTAGTCTCTAGCTGAAAAGAACTAGCTGTATAGTGAGTGTCTAGTCTCAGTGTATAGAATGGCTGTATAGTGATGTCTGTCTCTAGCGGGTATATGAGTGTCTGGGTCTCTAGCGGGTATAGAACTAGCTGATAGTCAGTGTTATCCCCCTACTGTTAGTGGGGGTCTACCTCTAGTTGTATAGAATACTGTATAGTGAGTGTTTTAGAAATCAGTTTGTTTTTGGAGTGTCTAGTCTTAGTGAAAGGTGAGGCTAGTTCTAGCTCTAAAAGAATAGCTGTATATAAAGTGTTGGGTTCGAGCTGTATAGAACTAGCTTTTATAGTGATTGTCGGGGACTCTAGCTGAAAGGGCCTGCTGTATAGTGAGTGTCTACCCCTCAGCGTATGGGAACTAGCTTTTATAGTGAGTGTCTAACCTAGCGGGGTATAGAACTAGCTGTATAGGGGGTTTTAAAGCCCTCAAAGCGTATAGAATGCGGAATGGAAGTGTCTAGTCTCACTTTATTAACTTTTTTGTATGTGATGTCTAGTCCCCGGCTGTATAGTGGGCCCTGTCTCTGCTGTATAGAACTATTTTTTATAGTGAGTTTTTCTATCTCTAGCTGTGGGGGAAAGTGTCTAGTCTCAGCTTTATAAAAACTAGCGAAATAGTGAGTGTCTTCTTTTTTTTTTTCCCTGTATGGGAACTTTTGTATAGTGAGTGTCAAGCCCTTACTGTATGTGGTGTCTATCTTTGATAAAACCCAAGTGTATAGTGTGGGTCTAGTCTCTAGCGTATGTAAAGGTCTATTCTCTAGCTGATGTGAGTGTTTAGTCCCCTACTGAAAGTGAGTGTTAGTCTAAAGCTTTTATATTTGTTTTTGTCTAGTCTCTAGCTCTATAAAACTAGCGGTATATTTATTGTTGTCTTAGCGTAAAAAAACCTAGCTTTTATAGTGGTGCTGGGCTCAAAGCTGTATAGAAATAAGCTTTTAGGATTTGTCTAGTCTCAAAGGCTGTATAGAATAGGGGTATAGTGAGTGCCCTAGTCTCTCGCTGTTTTGTTAATTTTAATAGTCTTTTAGCTGTTAAAAACTAGCTGTATAGTGAGTGTCTAGCCCAAGGTAAAACGGAGGGTCTAGTCTCTGTTGTATAGAACTAGCTTTTATAGTGGGGTGTCTAGTCTTAGCGGTATATTGAGTTTCGGTCTTTTGCCCCTATGGGAATTTAGTGTATAGTGAGTGTCTAGTCTTAGTGAAATAGAACTAGTTTTTATAGTGAGTGTCAGTCCTTTTTAGCTGATAAAACTAGCGTATAGTGAGTTTTTTCTAGTCTCAGCTTTTATAAAAACGGGCCCCGGGTAAAAGTGAGTGTCTATTCTCAAAGCGTTTTAGTGGTGTCGCTCTAGCTGATAGAACTGCTGTATAGTCAGTTTTAGTTCTAGCTGATAGGGTGCCCAGCCCTTTTTTTTTGTAAGAACCTGATAGGGGGTTGTCTAGTTCAGTTTATATTTAAGTGTCAGTCTTAGCTTTTTATAGTGAGTGTTAGCCCTTTTAGCTCTATAGAAACTAGCTTGTATAGTGAGTGTCTAGTCCCCGGGAAGCGTTGGGTTAGGGTATTGGTCTAACTCACCCGTATATAAACTAGCTGATAGTGATGTCTGTCCCTTAGCTTTTTATAAAAAGGGCTGTATAGTGAGGGCCAAAG